GTATTACTCTACTTATGCAGCGGGGTGGGTAACGTTGGGGAGTATATTAGTGTGTGTGTGTGTTGTATTTTTCTGTGTTTATGTGTATATTAAGCCCCATTCACATCTATATTTCAGGTGCAATTAAGGATTCCTGTGTCAGTATTTGCATTTTCCTGCAGCAGGAATCCTTAATCTACTGTTTACAAGCGGCACACATTTAAGTTAATGATCAGATGGCAGCCACTGCATGTATACACCTGCACACCACATGTAATGGTATGTGACATCATTACATGCAGTTAGAAAACTACCACTCAATCATGCATCCAGAGAGTGATTCTCTAAATAAGAACTTAAAGAACAATAACTTGCCTCTTTGAAGAACCCAACCATATTTTAAACGCTATTTTATTCCTGTCTGGAGTGACATTAAGTGGCACAGACATGTTACCATGAAAACATGAGGTGGAAGCTATTGAATGTGTCTATAAAGGGTTAACTGTGGGGTTAACTGTCCCCAGTGATGTCACTCTCCGTCTGCTGCCACTTAGGCCACCGTTCACACCAAGGCTTTTGTTGTGCACATTTTTACGCATGTTTTTATAAATGCGCAACAAGGTGCGTAAACAATGCACAAAAATAAGCTAAAAAAAAACTCCTGAAACGCTGTCACCTGTGTGTGAACGGGGCCTTATACTGTTGTCCTGTGAGCTAGTAAATATCTGTTGAGACTTTAGAGCTTAAAAGAAAAAGGTTTTGGCTTCAGATATACCTATTAGGTTAAGTTAAGTCACTGTATTTATAGCCACGACTTACTGTGTTACAAAAGTAATTGCTTTTCCTGACCTTCCAGCACGCGCAGTCCTTCCCACTCTATGTATATAATCCTGTGAGAGAAATAGTATCAGAATTCTAACCAGACAAACTTTTCCATCATTGCTTACCATGACAAAATTAAAAACAAAAACACATAGTAAACAATTTTTTTAACACTAATAATCTTAGACATATGCAATCATACAAAATAAACTAATATATTTTTGATAAGATGGAGGTGCATACAAAATGGAGTCAGATAAGTTTCAAGTTGATACTCAAAAGTGCTGCCTTACTTGTTTTGTTTGTGAATTCTTCTGCATCGAGGTTCATGATAAAGGATGCAACGCCCTGGTTCCAGAATATTGTTATTCAACGGTTTATTTAGAAGCTATTATTTTATTTGCCTAATTACCTGTTGATAGTTAAACCATATGGACATAACTATTATGTTCAAGGGCACTCTATTGTTTAACCTTTGTACATCACGTTAAGGGACTATTATTCTTGATAGTTAGGAAGTTCCCCTACTCCCTCGGTTATGTGCCCCAGATATGGCTTAGGCCCCATTCACATAGCGATATATATCGCGCGATTTCCGCCACGATATCGCGCATTTTTGCAGCGCGATTGTGCTATTCCTGAAAAAGTATTTAGACAGAGACGGCTCTCTAGGCAAATTAGGCGGTCGCCTAATGCCTCGCACTCACAAGGGCCTCGCGGCTGCCTAATTTGTGCACAGGCAGCATTAGGAGCCCTGTCACATCCAAGAGTGCATCGCAGCCACCGAACATCTCATCTCAACAGTATTAAGGACTCCTGTCACCTCCGAAGGGTGCTGTGGAGGGGGGGAGGGAGAGAGATGCAAGCACCGTCCCCGCAGAAAACTCTCCCCACTGCAGACTCACAGACTGTCAGAGATTTCTCCTTACAGGCTGTAAATCGTCTGCAGCGATCTGTGTCAGAGGGAAAAAAAGCCGATTACACACTAAGGAGAAATCACTGACAGTCTGAGTTTAGTCCCCCGTCTTGTCTACGCTCCCCTTGGCGCTGCTCTTCTGTCAGCCGCGATCGGTCTCCAATCCAGCAGCTGAAGGAAAGGAAGAACAGGTAGAAAAATAAATGAGTATAGTGAGGTTAATTGAAGTACTTAGAAATTGGGTAATACGATTTAAGTTGGAGGTAGTGCAAAAGAAAAGAAAGGACGTGAATGATTATTCGGGTAGATTCAAAGAGGCAATTCAGAAACATACAGAGTGGATGGTGAATTACGAAGCCGACATGGCTTTGCTCCGGACCCAGCTACGAACCGGGGGGTCTGTCCGGTCTGGGGGGGGGGGCTCTGGCCTGGGATTTGGAGGCGCATCACTGCACGGGAGAGGACCCGCGATGGCCTGGGTCACTCTAACGATCAGCCCTGTGGGTAAATATAGCTCACCTTAGCCATACGAATCACCAGACCGGGATCAGGGTCCATTCATGGGGGAGGGTCGGGGGTTCCCTGAAGGGGACGCCCTGTGGTTGATGTTCTCAGAATAACTATCATAGGGGGGAAAAGTTTTTTCTATCCTTTCTGTGCCACTTTGATATGTTAGTCATTTGTGTTGCATGGACAGTTTTGTTCATATTTGTATGTTTTATGCCACTGTGTGTGCCGGGGGGTCCATCTCCACTTCTCTAACCTTCCGTATGATATGGAGTGCGACCCCCAATAGGCCCACTATCTCGTTTATATACAACCGAGATAGCTTAGAGTTATACTACCTCCCTCTTGAATCTAACCGGTTCCTCCTTTCCTGCTCCCTTTCTAATCCTCCTTTTCTATCCCGCTTGCCATTCAGGGACGGCTGTCGGCCGGGTTGACTGCCATGACCTCCCTCAAACTCACCTCCTGGAACATACGAGGCCTCAGCGCACCTGAGAAAAGGCACCGGCTGTTGGCGGACTTGAGGGCGATGCATTCACAGGTTGTCTTTTTACAGGAGATGCACTCCAGGAGCAACAGGGTGCCCACCCTTGGCAGCAGAGACTATCCGGTGGTCTATCACAGCACCTCCCCAATATCTAAATCTAAGGGGGTCAGCATCTTGGTCTCCAGGTCAGTTGCATGGTTATACAAAGCTAATTGTTCGGATCCCAATGGCAGATACATTTTCCTGAAGGGGGAAGTCAATGGAGGTCTGTTCACTTTTGCAAATTGCCCAACACAGAACAGGTATCCTTCCACGGTTCTGCCTATACTGGCAGACTTTATGGAGGGCACCCTGGTCCTTGGGGGGGGACTTCAAACTTCGCCCTTGATCCCCTGGTAGACGTGTCCACGTCCCATTTATCGTATACTTGCCTATGCAGGCTCAAACAGGAGCTCCATTCACTGTGCCTGACAGACACCTGGCGCTTCCTCAACCCTGACTACACTTACTTTTCTCCAGTGCACCATACATACTCCAGACTAGACTACTTTGTCCAACACAAAGACCTCCAGATACTGTCATCGGCAGACATCGCTTCCATACTCACTTCAGATCACGCCCCCATCCATGTCACGCTAGATCTGGTAGGACCAAGATCTACCTGCTCCTCATGGAGGCTCAATGAATCCCTACTCCAGGAACCTGGGTTTAGAGCATCCCTTGATCAAGAACTCCGCTAATTTTTTGCTAATAACTCCACCCATTCACTTACTGTATGGGCAGCCCATAAATGCATCATGAAGGGTCTCCTTATGCGTCAGGGGGCGAAACTTAAACGTTCCCGCCCAGCGGAGAGCACCCGCCTCTTCTTGCACCTGCATCAGCTTGAGACATAGCATAAAAGGCTCTCTTGCACAACAGACATACCAGGAATTGTTAAAGGTCAGGGAAGATCTCAATACCCTCCTCTTTAACAAGCTCAAACGACGCCTCCTACGAGGTAAGAGATCCATGTATGAATTCTCTAACAAACCAGCCAGAGCTAGGGCGCTAAGATATCAGAAACCCAGACAATTCATATCCTCTATTGTCTCCGCCACAGGGGCTAAACTTCGCACCTCTCAGGCCATGGCCGGGGAGTTCCTCCGATTCAACCAGGAACTATATAATATACACCCACCTGGGGGACATGACCCCCCCCCCGGACTTGGCCGATGAGACGCAAACTTTCCTATCAAGATCAGGAATGCCAGTATTCAGCACAGAGGCGCAATTGGCTATGGAGGCTCCCATCACGGTGGAACATTGGCCCTACGGCAGGCAAAGACAGGGAAGGCCCCGGGGCCGGACAGATACACTCTAACCTATTATAAAACATACTCTGAGATCCTTAACGCACATTTTATATCGGCCTTCAACACTATACTATCTTGCGCAGTTGTGCCTGAGGACCTCCTCCGCTCCCACATCACTCTTATCCCGAAACCAGACAAGGAACCCTCACAGTGTGGAAGTTACCGCCCGATTGCCCTCAACGTTGATCTCAAATTGTTTTCCAAAATATTGGCCAACCGCTTGCTACCGGTCCTGCCGCAACTTGACCAGGCGGACTTTATCCCTGCGAGGGAGGCTAGAGTCAGCACCATCAGGGCTCTGAACGTGGTGCATGGCGCCCACACACGGGGGGCCCCGCTGATGCTCCTGTCCACGGACGCAGAGAAGGCCTTCGACCGAGTTCGTTGGTCCTTTATGCATGCCATTCTAGATCACATAGGATTAGGCCCCAACATGCATCGGTGGATAACTGCGCTATACTCTCGCCCCACTGCTGTGGTAAATGTTAACGAGACCCGCTCTGGATACTTCTCATTCAGTAACGGGACCAGACAAGTATGCCCTCTATCCTCACCCTGGAACCACTCTTATACACCGTGCACTCTGGTCGGGATATCTCGGGCTTCAATAAACGGTCGGGGGAACACAAAGTGGCTGCCTTTGCAGATGACAATCTTTTTCCTGCCAGACCCTCTGCAGTCTCTCCCCCGCCTGCTTCAGACCGTCGAGTATTATGGTCACCTCTCTGATTTTAAGGTAAATCTTTCTAAATCTGCGGTGATGGCCATCGCCCTACCAGCAACCACTGTCGCCTTGCTTAAGGCTCGCTTTCAGTTCCACTGGGCAACGGCCCACATTAAATATTTGGGGACCATGCTCACGCCTGACTTCAATCATTTATACACTGCCAACTATGCCCCCCTGCTCCTTTACAACAGCCAGGAACTCTCCCGCTGGAATGGTCTATACCTGACCTGGTTCGGCAGATGTAACTCAATCAAGATGACCTCCCAAAAATATTGTTCATGATGCAAGCCCTGCCAATTCACTTACCACCAGGGTTTTTCCATAAACTGCGTTGCCTGTTCACCACGTTTATATGGGCAGAGAACCACCCTCGGATCGGGAATTGGATACTTACAATGCAGAAGAGACACGGTGGGTCTCCCCGACATTCATATGTACTACAGGGCTGTCCACCTTGCCAGGGTTGTGGACTGGACCTGTAACCGAGAATGTAAACAATGGGTGAAGATGGAGCTGGAAGATCACGGGATGCCCCTTGATGGCCTGCCGTGGATTTCAGCACCGCTCACCCAGGCCCTAACATCACACCCCACTATTGGAGCTACTCTGAAAACAGCTAGAGAGACATTTAAAACCATATCCGTCTCTCCATTCCCTTCCCCCATGACCCCTATGCTGGAAGATCCGGATTTCGGCCCTGGTATGGAGGACACGCGGTTAAGGGGATTATACACGGAGAATAAGTTTCGCTTAGTGGATCTATTTGAGAATAGGCACTGGCTCCCCCAATCTTCCATTAGCACATTGGCATCTCCTCCCCTTAGCGCTTGGACGGCTATGCAACTGCGCCACTTCCTAATGGCGATTCCTCGCTCTGCGCTACCCACTCAGGACCTTGCGCCATTTGAAACCTTATGCAAACAAGGACAACAAGACGTGAGCGCAACTCTGTACGGGATGCTGGTGTTCCGCCCACAGGAGTACTGCCCCCCATTCTTGAAGAAATGGGAAGAGGAGCTGGGGCAGGTATTCACAGGTGAGCAACGGGCCAAAGCCCTGTTGGCCACCCACAAAGC